GGTAGCGCGCGCCTGTATTCCTGCTACTTAGAAGGCTGAGGCGGAAGGATCTCCGGAGCCCAGCAGGTCAAGGCTGCGGTGGCCGGGAGTGGCCACTGCCCTCCAGTCTGGGAGACAGAGTGAGACTCCAACTCAAAAAAAAAAGAAATCGTATGCTATCTACTGACCAGTTTGGGGTGCACGGGCTCTGTCCACAGACCTTGGAAAACTGCTGCCTTCATTTCATCTTATTGGCTGAAGCACAAATCCTCTCAGGGACCGTGCGGGGGTGGGGTGGGGGGGTGGGGGGGTGGGTGGGAGGGTGGGGGAGGGTTTAGGGAAGAAGGCGCTGAGCTCCTACACCTGGGCTTGGGGTAGTATCTGTGCCTGCTAAAACCCCCTGCCCAGGGGCCTCTCACTTTCTAATCTCTAGGGCCACACCCCTGCCCTTATCTGACGACTCTCCTCTCCCCACACTCCCTCTAAGCCCCTCCTCAGAATATTCCAGAGCTGTAAGGGCCTTAGAGAGTGACTACCAAGTTCAATTCCTCTTTGTTACAGATAAGGAAGGCCTAGATAGGGCAGGGGACTACCTAAAGTCCCTGAGCAAGATGAGGGGGGGATAAAGAGCCAGAGACAGCCTTGCCTGTGGGAGGGCATTCTTCTAGGCTGTCAGAGCTGGGCTCTGCTGCTGGTGTGCTCTGTGGGCTTGAGGACGTACCCTTCTGTAAAACGGGAGGAAAATGGAATCTTCAATAAGTCTGGACCTGATGCGTGGCTGCCAAATGACATGCATTTTGTTTGACAGTGTTTAACAAAAGGTTGAATTTGCATATCTCAAGTGGGGTGTACAGTCTCCAATTGACCACAAGCCTCACCGCTCCCAAATGTACATTGCTCCTTCATACACATGTTCCCTGCTTGACTCCTGAAGGGATTTGAGTGATCCCTTAAGGAACCCCTGTTCACTCACCCCACCCCCATTCCTAAGAGAATGCTAGCAGGAGACAGAAACATTCCCTGCACCTCCCTCCCCCATGTCGGAGGAGGTGCAGAGTTGAATCCTCCCTGATGTCCCCTTCTCACCCCTCCCCAAGTCCCCAGGTCCCATGGAGGTCCTCGGGGGCCTCCTACATCTTGGGGTTGTCTGATGGATTTGGGAACCCAAGTCCTCAGTGCCACATCGAAAGTGTGTGTCGTTTTCCATGAAAGTGACTGCAAGTGGCCTCTGCCTTGAAGGGACTTTTTGAGACTTTGGAGGATCCAGTAAGAGCTTCCTCATGGTTATCAGAGCCAGGGCTGCAGACCAGTGGCAGGTGAGCTCTTATTGCTGTGATGATCACGGTGATGATGAACAGTCCCCATTTTTTGGTGTTCTCCAAGTGCCAGGCATGTACTAAGCACTTGGATGAAACGTTACTTCCTTTGGACTTCCCAGCACTCCTGGAGGCGGGCTTAAGTGCCCGTAGTTAGCTGATGAGGAAAGTAAGCAACACAGAAGGCCACAGGGCTATGAGGCTGAAACATACAAATTGCCATTTTTATAGGTCGCAACCCGTCCACTGATGGCAATTTGATCAGGTTTAACCTAATAGCAAATGAGAGAGCTGAGATCAAGCAGAACTGGCTGAACTTGAAGCCATGCTCTTTTATTTTATTTTATTTTTTATTGTTTGCTGTCTACATGCTGGTGGCAGAAAATGTAAGCCCTGAAAAGAAACGAAAGTAAAAATCTCCCCAACCCAGAGACAATATCCATAAGAGCAAAAAAATTTAAATGCTTCAAGATCTGTCTCCAGGCATTTGTTAGTGTGTGATAATAGCTAGTGTCTATTGATAAAACAGCCTCTACTCTTTGGAGCCATTGCCTGCAGTGTGTATACCATTTGACTCTGGCAACCGAACAGAGGAGGCGTGATGATTCCTCCACTTAAGAGACAAGGATGTGGGGAGGGAGGGAAGTGGTGTGGTGGTTAAAACAAAGGCTCCAGCAGACTACGGAGGCTTTAATCCTGCCTGCACCAGCTGGAGCTAGTCACTTACCTCCTCTGTGCCTTGGTTTTCACATCTGTAAAATGGTGATAATAACAGCATCCACCAGAAAGGGTGGTTGTGAGAACAAAACGAGATCGTCTACATAAAGTAATGAAAACAGTGTTGGCACATGGCAAACCCTTAATAAATGTAGGCTGTTGTTAAAACCCAGAGATGTTAAATAAGTAGATCAAGACCACAAAGCTAGAAAGCGCCAGAGCCCTGGACCCAAGTCTGTCTAATCCTGGAATCCAACCTGTTACCACCTTTTTTTTTTTTTTTTAGTTAGAGTCTTATTCCATTGCCCAGGCTGCAGCGCAGTGGTATGCACGCTCACGGCCACCCCAGCCTCGACCTGCTGGGCTCTGACGATCCTTTCACCTCAACCTTCCAAGTAACTGGAACTACAGGCACACGCTACCGTGCCTGGATAATTTTTTATTTATTGTAGAGACGAGGTCTTGCCAAGTTGCCCAGGCTGGTCTTGAGCCTGGGGGTTCAGGCAATCCACTTGCCTCGGCCTCCCAAAGTGCTGGGATCACAGCCTGAGCCACTGAGTCCAGCCTTTGTTTATAGGGCACTCACTAAAGGGCCAGGCCCTGCCTAAGTGCTTAACCAGTCTCCACTCTAATCCACACCTCACCCCTGCACAGTATGTGTGTTAGCCCTGCTATTCAGATGAGAAAATTGAAGTTCAAAGAGGCCAAGTATCTTGACCAAGCACTTGTAAGTGACTCCCAGCATTCCTTCCAGCTGCTGTTCTGGAAAACTCTAATTTCACACCACTATCCTGCTTCCCCCTCCTCTTCTCACCGTCTCCTCCCTGAGCAGTCTTCCAGGATGTCACCGTGATGGCAGCCCTTGGCTTGGGCTTTCTCACCTCGTCTTTGCGGAGACACGGCTGGAGCAGTGTGGCCTTCAGCCTCTTCATGCTGGCCCTCGGGGTGCAGTGGGCAGTCCTGCTGGATGTTTTCCTGAGCAAGTTATTTCCTGGGAAGATGGTCATCAAACTCTACAGGTATTTGGATGGTGGCTGGCTGGCTTTCGGGTCCTCGAGGGCAGGGTCCTGAGAGAATAGGTTCTAGAAAATCTGGGATATTTCCTCTCTTTCTGGCACCAGTGCTGTGCAGTGTTTAAGACATCCTTATACTAAATGATTATTTATTGTATATCTAAAAATCAAATTTTGCCGGGAGCAGTGGCTCCCACCCATAATCCCAGCACTTTGGGCAGCCAAGATAGGAGGATTGCTTGAGTCCAGGAGTTTCAGCTCAGCCTGGGCAATATAGTGAGACCTCATCTCTACCAAAAATTAAAATTAAAATTAGCTGGGCGTGGTGACACCTGCCTGTAGCCCTAGTTACTCAGAAGGCTGAGGCGGAAGGATCACTTGAGCCCAGGAGGTTGAGGCTGCCATGAGCCATGATTGTGCAACAACACTCCAGCCTGGGCGAAAGAGTGAGACCCCTGACTCAACAAAAATAACATAAGACAAAATAAAATTCAAATTTCACTGGGCATCTTGTATTTTATCAGAAAGCCCTATCCTGTGCTGTCACAAAGCATCCAGGTCCACAGCCTTCCTTGCATCCTTTTTAAAAAAAAAATTGTTTAAAATTGTTTGTGGAGATGGGGTCTTGTTATGTTGCCTAGGCTGGTCTCGAACTCCGGGGCTCAAGCAATCCTTCCCCTTCAGCCTCCTAAAGTGTTGAGATGACAGGTGTGAGCCACCATGCCTGGCCTTTTTAAAAATTGCATTTTAAAATTGTGGGGTACAGTTAAGGGTTAGGTATACAAATATGCATTGTGCAAGTACCCTTGTTTTTTTTAATGATTATGATTTTGTAAAGTTATACAATATAAGTTCATAGAAAAAGAGATTAGACAAAAAGAAACAGAAATGTCACACCTAGAGAGACAGTCTCTTAAAAAGAAAGAACTCTCAGTCCTCAAATGTTGATGGTCAACAAACAGCTGAGCTTTAACTTTCCTTAAATTAACGGTGATCTGGCCACACTTTCCTGAGTGTCGGCCCCCTTTCCAATCTGTGAAAGGTGAATGATAAACTTTACTTTTGTCTACTTGCTTAAAAAAAAAAATCAACTGTGATCTGTGTAGAGGCATTTACGGGAAATGCTAAGAACTAGCAAAAGTGGCCTGTGGTGCTGGAAGTTAGAAGCATGCTTACCTGGATGGGAGGCAGATGTTGCGTAGGAAGGGGCACAAAGTCACCTTGCACAGAAAACATTCTCTCTGTTCACCTGGGTGAGGTTCCACATCAAGCTATACACTTTTCAAAAAGGAATTCACACTGGATAGGAGGAACTAGATTAAATTTTTTCTTAAAAATTGTCTTCCTCCTCCTCCTCCTCCTCTTCTTCTTCTTCTTCTTCTTCTTCTCCTCCTCCTCCTTCTCCTCCTTCTCCTTCTCCTCCTCCTCCTCCTCCTCCTTCTAAGGTCTCACCACGTTGCCTAAGCTGGTCTTGAACTCCTGGGACCAAGTAATCCTCCTATCTCAGCCCCCCAAAGTCCTTGGATAATGGGCATGAGCTACCATGCCCAGCCCTTAAAAAGTGTTTTCTGGTTTTATCCAACTCTGCCCTGCCCAGTTGGATTGCCCAGCAAATGCCATCTTAGGCATCTTGGGGACTTCTCCCAGCCCCTCTGAGACCCTGCCAACCTCTGGGCACTGCTGTTGGACATCTCTCCACGAGCCAGGAGAAGCTGAGTACTTCACAAATGTTATTTTGTTATTTTGCTAGACTCCTGTAGCTAGGGCTCTAACCTGATCTCGCCCCAAATCACACAGCCAGAAAGTGACTGAGTCAGGATTCCAGTCCAGGCAGCCTAGACCCGAGAAAACAGAGGCTGGGAGAAGGTAAGGCACTTGCCTAGGGCCTCACAGCCAAGTGGTGGGGACGACCAGCTTTTTGGGGGGCGGGGTGGGAGTCTTACTCTGTCGCCCAGACTGGAGTACAGTGGCCACTCCCAGTCACTGCCTCGACCTGTTGGGCTCCGGCAATCCTTCCGCCTCAGCCTTCAGAGTAGCTGGAACTACAGGCACGCGCTACCACGCACGGCTAATTTTTTTTATTTATTTATTGTAGAGATGAGGTCTCACCAAGTTGCCCAGGCGGGTCTCGAACCCACGGGCTCAGGCAATCCACTCACCTCAGCCTCCCAAGGCACGGGATTACAGGCTGAGCCACCGAGCCCGGCTGACTTCAGCTTTTTAACTGTCTGTAACCTTTTCCATACATTCCAGAGTGGTCACCATATGAAACACCGTCTAAACAGTTCCCCACTGGCCCTGGGAGTTGGGGGGGGAAACTAAATACTTTTCCTCTTCGAAAGCTTTAGAGCTAATTCCCACAGGGATTCCATGCTCCCCACCCCCAGTGTGTGCCAAAAGGCACTCTGGAGGGTTCTGGCCACGGTGGCCCGGGTCTGGTGTTGCTACCTTGGCTTAAGGCCACACAGGCCTTCAGGCTTCTGAGACGTAGTGGTCTGGAGCAGATGGCGTCTAAGTGCTGCACCCGTCTTTCGACGTCCACAGGGACCAGTTTGTTCTTGACTCAATCCAGGAAGACGAGAAGGGGCCGCGCACAGCCACGTGACTCCCCTTCCCCACCCCTGACTGCTCGACTCCTCCTGGCTGTGACCCCCACTGGAACTGGCTTTGCAGATTTGAACAATGGGCTCCTTGCTGGTGGAGTTCAGCTTGGCCGGGCCCATGGGCGGTGCCCGGGCCTGCCCCCGGGCCCAGCCCTTCCCTGGGCTGCACTCCAGGTTGTGCCACCTGACTTGGCACAGACCTGGTTCTGCCTGAGTCCCTTCAGGGCAGAGGCCTCTTATTCAACTTTGTCCTGCTGTGCTTTCTTCACATATTAGGAGCTTAGGAAACAGTTATTGGAACAAAGATGACAACAAAAGGAGCCCTAACAGAGGGATGTTTTTAATGCTGTATTTTGAAAGGCCCAAAAGGACTCTCCCTAGAAGACACCAGCAATGACCCACCCCATATTGCACTTGACATATATCAACTCACTTTTCCCTCATACTAGCTCCCAAGGTGTTGCCTCCACCTTATAAATGAAGGCATCAAGGCACAGAGTGGGTAAGTGATGTGCCCAAGATCACACAGCCAGAAAGCAGCTGAGTCAGAATTCTAGCCCAGGCAGCCTAGCCCTGAGCCTGCGTTCCTAACCACCGCATGTCACAGTCTCAGCACCTCCCCAATGCCAACTGGCCCTTGAGGTCTTAAATAATCACCGCAGGCACACTGCTCCTGAATTAAGCCTTTGTCAATGAAACAAATGCTCACTTAAAAGGCATAACCCGTCCAGGCATGGTGAAACCATGGGTAACGCCTTATTTTAAGTTAATCCTGGTTCCTGTAAGACTCTTTCCTCGTGCCCTTTGCCCTTCTCTGCCTCCCCCTCTGAAGTCCCTGAGCCTCAATGCTGGGAAGGCTGTGTCCAGACTTCAGAGCACAGGCTCTGGATCCAGGCCAACTGGGCTTGAACCTCACACGTGTCGTCAACTGGGCTCTGAGGCTGTTGCCAAATAAGTCAATTTTTCCAGTCTCAACATCCTAGAGGGCTGAGCAGGAGATTGAGATTTAGTTGAGGCGATGTAGTTTCAGGCCTGTTGTGCTTCGTGCTTATGGCATAAATCATTATCATTGTTACTGTTGGGGGAGTAGGCATCTCAGAGGAAGGTGCCTAGGGAAGAGTGGATGTCCATGGATTGTCCAACTCAGTACCACCTCCTCCAGGAAGTCCTCCTGATGAGTCTGGTCAGCATCGCTCTCTCCTCCCAGTGAACCCCTCTAGCCTTATGATATAGATACACTTAGTCGACAGGCTCAGGGTGTCAGCCTTGTCTCCCCTACCCAATCATAAGCACCTGGAAGACAAAAAATGTTTTCTTCTCCTGAATCCCCACACTGAGCATGCTCACGTATCCAGGGGGGAAGGGAATCACAAGCAGTGTTAACAGCGCCAGCTTCTACTCAGGAGGTGGTTCTTTGAGCCAGTTTTCGGGCTAGATGCATACATACATAGGGAGAATATTCCTTCCAATTCCCACGGCACTACCACGGGATCAGTATGATTGCTCTTGTTTCACAGATAGAGGAACAGGCTCAGTGAGATCAAAGAGCAGTTTGAGAGGCAAAGCGGGCCTGGAAGCCAGGTTTGCCGTACTTCCAAAGCGTGTCTTTTCCCACTGCCGTGGAGAGGGAGAGGAGAGACGGCCCCGAGCGTGGGGTGACTGGATGGTGGGTGGGTCGGCAGGTGAAGAGCGCCCTCTATTGGGCATCGGTGAGTGATGTGGCAGAAAAGACCTCAGTGGGCAGAATCCCGGTAGCCAGATTCAAAAGGACCCTGAGGGGCAGGGCTCAGTGGCTCAGCCTGTAATCCCACCAGGCGAGTGGACTGCCCGAGCCCGCGGGCTTGAGACCCGCCTGGGCACCTTGGCAAAGCCTCGTCTCCACAATAAATCAAAAACTAGCGGGGCGTGGTAGCGCGTGCCTGTAGTTCCGGCTACCTGGAAGGTCGAGGCTGCGGTGGCTGGGAGCGTGCCACGGCACTCCAGTCTAGGTGACAGAGTGAGACCCCAACCCAAAAAACCAACCAGCCAACAAACAAAAGGGACCTGAGGGAACCTACCTCCGTACTCACTTCTGATCACCCTCGCTACTATGAACGCAGAGCTGTCTCTCAGAGCAGAGATGCCATCTCTGCCATCAAGGCACAGAGTGGGTAAGTGATGTGCCCAAGATCACACAGCCAGAAAGCAGGAAGGGACTAAGGCCAGGCCGGTCTGTGCAACGTCCGCCCCCGAGCGGGTGGAGATTCTGTCTTATCCTCCTACCGCAGCCTCTGTGGCTGGAGGAAGGGACTAAGGCCAGGCCGGTCTGTGCAACGTCAGCCCCCGAGCGGGTGGAGATTCTGTCTTATCCTCCTACCGCAGCCTCTGTGCCTTGAGCAGTGCCAGGCAGAGAGTGCCCAACAGTGTTTATTGAATGAATGAATGAGAGGCATCCTTCCTTCTTAGCCATCTTGGCTCTCCCTTTCTGCCCCAGTGTTCAGCTGGCCTCCTTGAGTGCTACGTCGGTGCTGATCTCAGCGTGTGCCGTCCTGGGGAAGGCCAACCTCGTGCAGCTGATGGTGATGGTGCTGGTGGAGGTGACAGCCTTTGGCACCATGCGGATGATCAGCTTGCTCGTCCTCCAGGTGAGTCACAGTGCTGGGAGGAGGGGCCCAGGAGAAGAGGGACAAGAGGCCCCATTTGGTGAGGCTTTTAAAAATAAAGACATCCTGCCGTCCCAGCTACTCCAGAGGCTGAGGCGGGAGAATCGCTTGAGTTATAATTGCACCACTGCACTCCAACCTGGGTGACAGAATGAGTCTCCATTTCTGAGAGAGAGAGAGAGAGAGAGAGAGCACACTAATTCCCAAGCCACACTGGCAGTGGTTCCAGTAAGTTGTATGGCAGCATTTTCTTTCAAGTCAGTCAGTGTGTAAACTGACTCTACAAGAGCTCTCACTGGGAGAGACTGTCAGGAGTCTAGGTTTGAAGTCAGCCACGAAGGTGAGGCCAGTCCAAATGGCTCCCAGCTGCTCTGCATTAACCCTGACCCTGAGGGATGATGTGGTCAGCCTCTCCATCTCACGGATGAGAAAGCTGATACCCAGAGAAGGGAAGGGACTGCCCAGGATCACACAGCAAGCTGGTGGCAGAGCTCAAGTGAGAACCCAGAGTCCCAGCCTGGTTTAGAAGGAGCACCAGGCTTGGAGTCAGGCTGGGGTTTGTATCCCAGCTCTGCCTAAATTCTTGTGCGACTCTGGGTGATTTATCCTCTCAGAGCATCAGCTTCTTCGTCTGTGATATGAGGATAACTTTATTACCACATAGGGTTGGGGAGTAATTGAATTAAATACATGAAATACATCTTTCCAAAAATTAAAAAACCATGAAGCCTCTTTGCTGTGCCTCAGTATCCCATAGTAAGGACTTTGGATTTCACCTGAGAAATACAGGGAACATGGGGGAGTCTTGAGCAGAGGAGAGCTATGATCTGGTTTATGTTTTAAGAGACTCACTCTGACTGCCAGACTCAGAAAAGGCTGAAGGGCCATGGGAAGGAGAATGTAGAGCCCAGAAAGGAGACTTTTGCAATAATCCATACTTGGACCAATATGATAGCTGTGAGGATGGTGGGAAGGGCTGGATCCTGGCTGCATTTTGTGGACGGAATCAACAGGATTTGCTGACAGACTACACATGGGATGTGAGAATGGGGGAAGATCAAGATGACCCCAAGGTTCAGATCTGGAGTTTGTGCTGTTTGTTGGGATGGGAGCATTGGGGTAAATCTGGGAGCCTAGGGTCAAATGTGGTCAGGTTAGGGTTGTGGTGAGGGCTAGACACCTGTGTGAAACATCCTGATAGAGACACTGAATGGAAACGTACAAGTCTGAAGCTTAATGAAAAGGTCAGGGCTGGGAATACGGATTTGGGACTTGTTAGGATACATGAGGGGAAACCAAAAAAACCCAGAATTATCTTTTGGAGAGCGAGCCCCTTATAGTACACTCAGATTTTTTTCCTCCAGATCAGATATTCAACCAAAGTTTTTATCAGGAAGTTTTGAGATCACGTCATGATTTGCAGAAGAACCCTCCCAAGTTGTGGCCAACAGGTGACTGTTCTTACACTGTGACAATGCACCTGTCCACACCATGCTGAGTGTTCAGCAGTTTTTGACCAAAAAGGCCATGACCGCTGTGCCCCACCTTCCCTATTTACCTGAGTGACTTTTTTGTTTGTTTGTTTGTTTCCCTGGATGAAAAAAGTCCTCAAAAGGAAACATTTTGTCAAAGTGGAAGAGGCGGAAAAAATGGCAGAAGCGATAAAAGGTATTAAAATGGACGAGTTAAAAAACTGTTTTGAGCAGTAGAAAAAGCGTTTTGATGGGTGTATTGCATCAGATGGAGAGGACTTTGAAGGTGACTGAAATTTAAACAAATAAGAATACATACACCATTTTTATAAATAAATTCCATTTGGGGGGTCCTCCCTCGCAGATGGTGTTTAAGCCATGAGACCCGCGGATCTCACCAGGAAGTGAGTGTAAGTGGAGACATGAAGAAACCTGAGGACTTAGCCCTGGAGGGCCACACATTTCAGACGGGAACATGAGGAAGAGCCAGCAGAGACTGAGGAGTGTGGCAGCAGAGGGAGGAGGCTTAGGACAGGGTGGGGTCCGGGACGGTGAGGAAAGAGAGGGCCCACAGTGGATCGAGGCCAGGAGGTCAGGAGGGCAGGGGCTCCTGACCGGATCGCCAGGAGGGCAGGGGATCCGACGACCGTCGGACCTGGCAAGGGGACCCGACAAGCAGGAGGAAGATGAGGCTAAAGCCTGTCCTGAGGGGTTCCTGAGCGGGCGATAAGGGCATGAGGACAGTGAGCAGGGGCAGCATTCCAGGGATGTTGCTCTAAGGGGGAGCAGAGCAATGGAGAAGCCGTGAGGGCAGAACCGGGTTTTGGGAGATTGTATTGGCTTCTTCAGATGGGCGACCTTTCCATGCCAATTAGAACAATCCAGTAGAGAGAAAAAAAATGATGATAGAAGAAAGATGAATTGTGAGAGTCAAGTCTGCGGTGGAAAGAAGTGGGATTCTGTGCACTGAAGGCTTTAAGCAGTATGTGGACGGCTCATCCCAATAATGAAAAAGAAGACAGAGAGGGTGGAGAGGCTGGAAGATTTGGTGGTTGCCACAGGTTCAGGCTTTTGCAGGGAGAAAATTCTCCACTGATCACTTGCATTTTCTCAGAGAACCAAGAGGCAAAGGCATCAGCCACATGCAGGGGTGGGGACCTTGAGGAGAGGAAAGGTGTGATGGGCTCACCTGGAGAGTGGAAGAGAGTGAGCGGGCAGAGGGTACAGGATGGCACCAGGGTCTTGGGGCTCAGAAAGGGATGTGGAGAAGGAGGCTGTGTGAAACAACTGGGGGCAGGCATGGAAGAAGCAGAGTTGGACTTGCCAAGCCTGGGATACTGCCCAGTTAGAGCCCAGAGGCCAAGAGAGATCAGAGATGGGGCTGTTTGCATGGGAGGGAGTCTGACGGTGGGTGGTGGAATCCAAGCTGCTTAAGAAAGGAGTGAGAACGTGGCAGAACTAGGGATGGCAAAAACGGGAGCTTGGTGTTAAAAAGCACCCTCTGCACAGGGTCTGCAGCTGGGCAGCCTTGGTGCAAATGTCAGCCCAGCCCACACTACCTGAGTCCATTTGGGCCACTTACTGAACCTCTCTGTGCCTCAGCTTCCCTATCTGTGGAATAGGGATAACATAACACCTATGTCCTTGAGCTGTTTTGAGGATTGAATGGGTTAATGTACCTAAGGCATTTAGAACAGTCCCTGGCATGGGGTGAGGGTGTGGCAGGGTCATCATCTTTATCATTGCTGCTGTCACCAGGCTCAGTTGATTGGAATTTTGGAGGAGGGAAGACGTAAGGAAGCGAGCTGGACAGACAGGAGGTGGTGGCAGTTATAAGGTGGGATGCAGCCGGGCTCGGTGGCTCAGCCTGTAATCCCGCGCCTTTGGGAGGCTGAGGTGAGTGGATTGCCTGAGCCTGCGAGTTTGTGACCCACTTGGGCAACTTGGTGAGATCTCATCTCTACAAGAAATCAAAAATTCAGCCGGGCCTGGTCGCGTGCACCTGTAGTGCCGGCTATTCGGAAGGCTGAGGCGGAAGGATCGCCGGAGCCCAGCAGGTCGAGGCTGTGGTGGCCAGGAGTCTGGGCGATGGAGTGAGACTCCAACTCAAAAAAATAAAAAATAAAAAAATAAGGTGGGATGCTGGAAACAGATCGTGGAGGCAGCAGCTACTAGTGATGACAAGGTCTAAGACTTGACAGTGGATGTGGTGGCAGATATGTGATATAGGGAAAATATGTGAGGAGAGATGTCCTGGAACTGGGGGTGGGGGGGGAGAAGGAGTTGGGAGAGCCAGGAAGAGTAAGAAAGAAAGGTTGAGGGGCATGAACAGACATTGCCAGAAACCAAGAGCAGCCAAGAGGCAGAGAGGTAGCCGCTGCGAGGAGGGGACAGTGTAATGGTACCTGCCTCAAGGGAGCTGGGAGTGTTTGGGGAGGGAGAAAGAACGGTCTGGAGGGGAATAGTGGAAGTTCTCATTTCATTTATTTGTTTGTTTGTTTACTTATTTAGAGACAAGGTCTCTCTAAGTTGCCCAGGCTGGTCTCCAACTCCTGGGCTTAAGTAATCATCTCGCCAATCATATCGCCTTGGCCTCCTAAAGTGCTAGGATTACAGGCTTGAGCTACCACACCTGACCGGAAGATAGTATACATTAATTTTTGGCTCTCTTCATCTGTATTTATGACTTTAACCCCTAGATACTTCACCGTGTATTTCCTAAAAACAGAGGCATTCTCATATATAACTGTGGCTCAGTTAACAAAGTTGAGAAATTAACATTGGTACAATATGATTACCATATTCAAATTTCACCAGTTGTCTCAATAATATCCTGACTAGTAAAAGAAAAAAATACTTTTTTCTGGTCCAGGATCACATCTTTCATTTAGTTCTCATGTCTTTTTTTTTGAGTAGGAGTCTCACTCTGTCACCCAGGCTGGAGGGCAGTGGCATGCTCCTGGCTACCGCAGCCTCGACCTGCTGGGCTCAGGCAATCCTTCTGCCTCAACCTACCAAGTAGCTGGAACTACAGGCACACGCCACTACACCTGGCTAATTTTTTGATTTATTGTAGAGACAAGGTCTCACCACGTCGCCGGGCTGGTCTCAAACCCACGGGCTCAGGCAATCCACTTGCCTCGATCTCCCGAAGTGCTGGGATTACAGGCTGAGCCACTGAGCCTGGCCCTCGTGTCCTTTTAAACTTCATCAGTCTGGAATAATTTCCTAGTCTTTCTTTTTTCTTAATGCCCTTGACTTGATTTGAAGTTACAAGCCAGTTATTCTGTAGACATGGGCTTGTCTACCACTTCCTCACAGTTAGGTGGAGAATACGCATTTTTGGCAGGAATTCCCCAGAAGTAACATGTGTTCTTCTTAGTATGTTGTATCAGGAGATGTGCTGTCAATTTGTCCCATGACTGGGTGTGTTAACTTTGATCTCTTGGTTAAGATGGTGTCTGTGGAGAACTTCCACGGTAAAGCTACTGTTTTCCCCTTTGAATTAATAAACATCTTGTGAGGGGATGATTTCCCATAAAAATCCTATTTCTCATCAAACTTTCACCTCCTGGTTTTAGCATCCTTGATTCTTTCCTGAATGAATGAATGCTACGACAATGACCGGTATTGGCTCTCTAATTCTGTCTTCCCTTCTTCATCTGTTAGCTGGCATTCTTCTGGAAGGAAGAACTTTGGCTCCTCTGCTCATGCATTCACCTATTTATTCAGGACACCATGGGCTCATGGATTCCCAAGGCACACTCTCATTTTCTGTTTCCTCTCTCTGCTTAATATAAGGATTAATTACAACTCCCTGGCTTCCAGGAAGAAAATATTACCAGAACTTTCTTAGGTAGAATGAGGGGAATTAGTATATGGGCTACCAAGGGCAGGGTGCAGCAGGACTGAGGAAGCTGCCGGAACTGCACGTGACAGGCCTCTGAGATCCCAGGCAGTCCACACTCTCCATCTTCTGGTTCTATTCCTCTCTGTAATCTAATTTCTCTGTACACCAGCTTTCTCTTTAGTGAAAAACCTGTCCCCTCCACCCACCCACTCCCATTTGTTCCTGCATTTTTATGTCCCAGACTCTGCAGAAAGCAACACTCTTCTCTCTCAGTTCGTCTCTATTCTATAGTCCAGGGAGAGAGAATTGGATCAGTCCACCAGGTCGTTTATCTACTCTGGCCCAACCAGCTGCAACTGGCATGGACGATGGTTCAGTAAAGACAGTAAAGACATGACTGCCAAGAAGAGGGGTGGATTTCAGAGATGGACTGCTGCCCGTGAGCAGCGCGTCACGAGCCTTTGCTACTGTGTTGTGGTCTTCGTAACGACTGTTTTAAAAGTCTGTGTTAATGAGAAACATCTCTTCTCTTTTCAGCAGCTTCAGCTTGCTAGTTTAACTGGTTTAGGGGTGGGTTCAGCACAGATTTTGAGAGTTTGTTGTCCTCAAATTTCCATCCAGCCTGGGTGTGTTCAGAGGGCTGAGGGGTACCAGAGCCAGGGACCACAGTCATTTCAGTGGAGACAATTCAAGAAAAGCATATTCTGGCCAGGGTTGGTGGCTGACAGCTGTAATCCCAGCAATTTGGGAGGCCAAGGTGGGAGGATTGCTTGAACCCCAAAGTTCAAAACCAGCCTGGACAATATAGTGAGATCTCATCTCTACAGAAAAATTTTAAAAATTTGGTATGGTATGCATCTGTAGTCCCAGCTACCTGAGAGGCTGAGACGGGAGGATCACTTGAGTCCAGGAGGTTGAGGCTGTGGTGAGCCAGAAAAGCCCCATTGCCCACATTCCAAGGTGAGGTTACCCAAGTGTTGCTCCTGGACTCCTGGTGAAGCTTATGGAGACTGAAAGGCAAGCCCTCTTTTCAGCGCTTACAAGGGAATTGCATACATTTGCAGCTTTATATATGACTGAGGGCTCTTTGCCAGCATTGGTTCATTTCACAGATATTCATTGGTACCTCTTATGTACCGGGCACTCTTATGGCAGCGGGGAAATACAGTGCTCGTGAAACTTTTATTCAAGGAAAAACTGCTGACACAATAAAACAGACAGAAGATACAGCGTGTGAGATAATGATATGTGCCGTGGGGAAAGGATAAAACGGAGAAGACATACAAAACTGGGAGAGACATGACTATTAGGGTGGCCAGGGACGGCTTCACTCAGGGAGTGAATTTTGAGTACAAATCTGTAGGAAGCATGCACACAAGCCACATGCATGTTTGTGAACAGTGGCAGACCCGTGGCAGGGTGGTGGGAGGGGTCTGCACCCACCGAGAAGAGCATTTGATCACTGACACTGTTTAGAATACTATAAAGCAGACCACCTTTTAATTGGCTTTAGGATTGTTGATATCACCTAGACAAGGCACCGCCTTACTGCCTGCATCCAAGGTGGACCACCCCTCCACACGGGCCTTGTTAAGCCCCTGCTGGTGGTAAGAGCTGAATGACCTGAGGTGGGAACATGCTGGTGGACTTGAGGAAGAGAAGGAGCAGGTGGAGGAGCAGAACAGGAGATGAAGTCAGAGAGGGCGGGGCAAGAATGGGTCCCACGGGGTCCTGCAGGTCATTGCAAGAACGCAGACTTTGACGTTGAGTATGAGGGAGAAGTAACATGATCGGACTTACTTTTTTTGTTATTTGTTTTTTTTGAGTTGGAGTCTCACTCTGTCACCCAGACTGGAGTGCAGTGGCATGGATCATGCTACTGCAGCCTCGTTTTGCTGGACTCAGGCGATCCTTCTGCCTCAGCCTTCCAAGTAGCTGGTACCACAGACAAGGACCACCACACCTGGTTAATTTTTTTATTTATTGTAGAGATGAGGTTTCACCATGTTGCCCAAGCTGGTCTTGAAATCCTGGGCTCAGGCAATCCTCTTGCCTCTGCCTCCCAGAGTGCTGGAATTACAGGCATGAGTCACAGTGCCTGGCCCTGGCTTACATTTTTGTTTGTTTGTTTGTTTGTTTTGAGTGGAAGTCTCACTCTGTCACCCAGGCTGGAGTGCAGTGGCATGCTCATGGCCAACGCAGCCTCAGTCTGCTAGGTTCAGGCGACCCTTCCACCTCAGCCTTCCAAGTAGCTGGAACTATAGGCACGTGCCATCACACCAGCTAATTTTTTGATTGATTATAGAGATGAGGTCTCACCAAGTTGCCCAGGCTGGTCTCGAACCTGTGGGCTCCGGCACTCCTGTCACCTTGACCTCTCAAAGTGCTGGGATTATAGGCATGAACCACTGCACCTGGCCTCTGACTTACATTTTAACAGTATCACTCTGGCTGTTGGCTTGGAGAGTCAGGAGGGCAATGAGGGTGGAGATGGGGAGACCATTTTAGAGGTTATTGCAATAATTTGGAGTGGTGGTGATGGTAACTGAAAGCAAGATGGGGTCAGTGGGGAGCAGTGGTAAAAATTCCACTAATCCTGGATATTTGGGGAAGGCGAAGCTGGCAGCACGTATCATAGCCCACTACATACATTTCTAAGGATTGCTAAATGTGGTTCCCCGGGAAGCGAAATGAGCATACACCTAGAGTTTACTAAAGACTTCAGTTTGATATTATAAGAAGATTGACTGCTTCATGTTGCAAAGTTTATGTCACCCATTACCCATCACCCATGCAGAGTTGGAATTCTGCTGGCAAGTAGGAAGCTGCAGGATGTGTGTCCATGTGGCTTTCTGCCCCACCTAAGTGGCCCTCGGCCAGAAGCACTGAGGAACTACTGATAGAGGCCAGCCAGAGACCTGTGCACAGCAGCTTGCGGGGCTCCTTTGAAGGAGGAAAGTCTGCTGGGAGGGCTTGCAAGCCCCGGACACCAGTGTCATGACTCCAAGCCAGACTTCCTGCACGAAGCTCTGAGCTTTCCTCAGGAATCACCAGGGTTTGCCGTGGGCAGAGGATACCGACACTCATGGATCCTGTTGGGTTTCATTGCAGGCAGATGACCGCATGAGTGTGATGCACATCCATGTGTTTGCAGCCTATTTTGGACTGATGGTGGCCTGGTGCCTCTCAAGACCTCTGCCCAAGGGAACGAAGGAGAAAGATAAGACAGCGACAAGCCCCAGTTTGTTTGCCATGCTGGGTGAGGACAGGGTGGGGTGGATAAGGGGTGACTCACACTTGGGCTGAGCAAAATGGTTTAGAAAAGCTTCCTCTGAAAACCTCTCTCCTTTACCAGCTTCCCCTGGGTGTCTGAAGCCCTTCGATAATGACTTGTTTCTTCAAGTAGTGTTTGTTAAATTCATACCTTTGTATTAAGCCTTCTCTTCATGAGAGTTCTCTTCATTCATATCCAATGGAGAGAAGAGATTCCTTATGTCTGAGTTTAAAGAAGCTTATCCAATCCTTTTGTGCTCCACTGAGAGGAGAGAATTGAACATGTGAAGAAAGTAGGACCCAGGAGTGGAGAAAGGGTGGAAATAATAATGGGACTAATGGTAATGCTGTATTTTGAAAAGCGGCCATGGACATGATGAGCTTAGACTACTGGGAGAGGTTTAGAGAAAAATCGAGCAGTAAGCTCAACAGCAGGTGCAGGATATCGGGCCATGGGGCCAAATTAAAGCAGCACATTTATTTTTTTTAAATAAGCACTTGGGGCTGGGCACAGTGGCTCATACTTGTAATCGCAGCACTTTGGGAGGCCAAGGCAGGAGGATCACTTGAGGGCAGTAGTTCGAGGCTGCAGTGAGCTTTGATCATGTCACTGCACTCCAGCCTGGGTGACAGAATGAGGCCCTATCTCTAAAAAACAATAAAAATAAAAATTAACATTTGGCTATCACAGACTGTGTTCAGGAGGCTGGGAGTTTGTAAATTTCAATTCTCTGGGGTCTCAATTTCCTTGCCTATAAACTATGATTTATTGTTATGGTTATGTTTAGCTGGTCCCTGCCAGTTTGAGAATTTGGAAGAGAGATAGGACTTGCCCGTGGAGCCATCAGTGACAGGCTGAGACTTGCCAGCTCTAGGATTCTCCTCCTCTAAAGTACCCTGAGGCTCAGGCCTTTGGAGCTGGAGTGTGGTTCTGGCCAATAACCCTCTCTGGCCCTCAGGGACCCTCTTCTTGTGGATGTTCTGGCCAAGTTTCAACTCTGCTCTGCTGGACAACGAAAAAGAAAGGAAAAATGCTGTGTTCAACACCTACTATGCCCTGGCAGTCAGCGCAGTGACAGCCACCTCAGTGTCGGCCTTGACTCACCCTCAAGGAAAGATCAACATGGTGAGGAGAGTACTCGGGTCCTCCAGGCCTGACACACACATCCACGTCCCTCCCCAGCCCCAGTGCCAGCCCCTGGGTGGGGAAACGGCACGCTGAGTGCTGGAGCCTTGTCTGAAATGTCACAGAGCTTTAGGAAGAACGCTGGATGATCACGATAGGCTCTGGGACTCAGGAGTCGGTCAGATGATCAAAGGCTTTCTGAGGGAAGTGGTGAAATCCATCAGCATTGACAAAAAAACAGACCTAAGTTTGAACCTGTTTCTACCACTACCACGGTGCCAGCCACCATGAGCAAGAATTAGCAGCGAGTGGGATAGAATTAGTCAGCCTCTCTCTTTCCCCCAAGAAATTTCAAGAATGAAATGATCGGAAATAAATGTGTGTGTCACACCAGCCATGTGACCTTGGTCAGGCCATGTCAGCTCTTTGAGCCTTAATGGCCTCATCTGTAAAGTGGGAGTGAAGACATAATGCATGTACAGTGCTTCATGAGGAGCAAGTGTCCACAGCCATTATTAACACAGCTGGGGATGGAGAGAGATGGGTGAGGGGGGAGACAGAGACCAAACAAGCTCCCATGATGACCAGGGCCTGGGGCCACCCAGCCAGGACTGTTGGGGAAAATTCTGGACAGACAGGGTGCAGGCCACAGATGATGGGTTCACAGCACCTTTCCAGTGCTAAAGCGAGGTGAGTGTCTCCCAGGCGAGCTGCGTGGTGGCAGGGAGTCTAGGAGCAGACAAGCAGGGGACATCCAGGGGGGCAGGAGTAGGCATCAGATAAGGGGAGCCCCCAGCAAGGCCTAACTGGAGTTGAGAATGTCAGATAAGAGCAAGGCCAGCGGGGGTCTGGGGCAGCAAAGGATATCGCAGAGATGGGAGCCAGGAACAAGGACCAGCTTGCAGGAGCCAGTAATAATAATAAAAACAATGGCAATTACTTATGGTTTTGGGGCATTTATTCACATTCTGTGCCAGGCATAAGGCTGAGAACTTTATATGTGCTAGTTCATTTAATCCTTACAATAACTTTATGAAAGAGGTACACTCAAAACCCCATTCTCTTTTTTTTTTTTTTTTGAGTTGGAGTTTCACTCTGTCGCCCAGACTAGAAAAACCAAAACATTTTTCCAAGGGCCCAACGATGCACCACTGAGTGTGATCTATGGCTAGGATGCTGAGCCCCTGCATGTTCCAGCTGATTCCCTACCTGCACCCTGAGCCTGAGAGGCAGGAATGAGCTGGCCGACCGAGGAAGGTCACTAGTCCCGACAGAGGAGACGGGAGGTTTCAGGATCAGCAAAGCAGGGAGGACATGGCAAGCTTGTCTTCGTCCTGTCAGCCTGAGCACCTTTCCACAAGATGGTGTCTGTCCTCTCTGTGCTTAAATTCGCCCACCCACAAACTATTTCTTTGCAGACTCACATTCACAATGCGATCCTGGCAGGAGGCGTGGCCGTGGGTGCCTCCTGTCACCTGATCCTTTGGCCTTTCCTGGCCATGGTGCTGGGCCTTGTAGCTGGGCTGATCTCCATTGGAGGAGCCAAGTGCCTGCCGGTAAGAAAGCGGACAACATCCTCTGCCTTGGCTGAGACCAGCAGAGCCCTGGGCCCCTGGTGGTCTGGTGTTGTAGGATGCATGGGCGGTGGTAGGCAGGTGTTGGCCTCAGAGCCTGGCAAGGCACCCACCCTGGATGGATTTACTGGGATGCCAGGAAGGCAAGTAACGGAACCCATTCAAGCTTGCTCAGGCAGAAGGGGAATTTGCCATAGGCTGCTGGGGTGTTCCAGAACCCAAGAACAGGGTGCTGCTGGGAGAAAGACTAGCACCAGGGACTGCAGTGTTGTGGAGAGCCCCAAATCCCTGCTTTACTTCCTTCTTTGCTTTTCCCAAGTACCAGCTTTATTGTCACTCTGTGGACCTCTGTCCCCTTCTCCCACTCCACATGGTGAAATGCAGTCTTTTGCTTCAAGAGAGCAGACAGGTGGAACCTCTTGGCCCTAATGCCTAATTATCTGGGAAAGGGGCTCTTTGGCTGCACTTGGATGATGTGTCACCTTTGACTGGGTGTGAGGCATGTCGTACATGTGTGGTACATGCATGGCTGCTGCCAGTGAGCCTTGTGGGTGATGTGGGAGGAGCCACACCTGGAAGAGGGCATGCTGGGCTGATGATTCCAGTCATGTTCACTCTGATGGTTTAATTCTTCTTCTAAGTGGATGGATCTTTCTTTGTTCCACACTTGACAAGACCTGGTCACACCATACTCCACTGCAGCCAGTTGTTTATAATGGATTTCCAAGAGAAATCTTTAGGGACAACACGTCTTCATGGGTTTGAGGACCTGATGGAGAAGAAAAGAGTCAAGTTTTGAAGGCTGAATGTGAACAAACAGTGGCCATTCAGGGAGTCCGTTTCAACCTAAAATTAGGAAGGACTTCCTAGCGGTTTGACTTGACCAAAAATGGGGTGACCTAATTTTCATCTTTGCGATGGAATAGATGTCTCTTACATTCTCTGGTTTGAAACCCCTTCCTCCAGAAAGAGCCAGGAGGAAGCACACCATGAAGAGAGCATAGCAAGGCATCATCAGGCTCTGTGCCCATTGGTGTCTCTGTGCCTCGGTTTCCTTGACTCGGTCACTGCAAGGATTATGCAAAGATGACTCACTCATTCATTCATCAGTCGTTCATTCAACAAAATGCTTTTAATACTTATCTGCTTTTCAGGCTATAGTTTAGTGAGAAAAAGAGCAAATGAACACAGTACAGTGTGATAACGGTTGCAGGGGCACATCTAAGCTAACCTGGGGCACCCCCCCCCCCAAGAAATGCTTCCCAGAGCAGAGTATAGACAGAAGAGTAGTATTAGCCAGATGAAGAAGTTCCAGGTAGGAGGAACAGCATGTACAAAGGCTTATTGGTGAGCAGAGCACATAGCCCAACCAAGAAGCAGAAAGACGTTCTTATGGCTGACATGTAGGGTTCACCCGGGAGCACATAGGAATGAGAGCCTTGAGAGGTGGGAGGTGCTCAGGTATACCTCCTGGGGAGTTGAAAGTCTGAAGGCAACGGGGATCCCAAGGAGGGAACTAGTCTGATCAGAGTTGCATTTATATCCACATCTGTTGGCTCTGGCCATTTGGGACACTGAATAGGAGGTGGAAGGATCACTGAATGGGAAGCCAGATGTGTGGTCATGTGCTTTGCTTCTAAACAGCCATGTTGTCTTTGGGACGGCACTTAAATTTGAGCTAGACCAGTGAGTCTCAGTTGCCCCCAGGGGAATGTTCATGGTTAACACAAGGCTGTTGGCCTCATGTGTGGAGGCTAGGATGTTGCAAAACATCCCATAATGCATGGGTCAGCCCCCACAACAAAGAAGTATCAGCCCCAAATGTGAGAAGTGCCTATGCTAAACCCTTGCTTCTCAAAGTGTGGTCCCTGGGCCAGCAGCATTGGCATCTCCTGGGGCCTTGTTAAATGCAGAATCTCAGGCCCCACCCACAGCCATTAAGCCCACTTCTTCATTTCACAAGCCCTGGGAGAACGAAAGGCACGCTTGAGTCTGAGAAGTGCTTCTTTGGGTGAGGTCTAGTGCCCACCCCCCTTTGGTGGCCCGGGACACCAAGGGTGTGTGAAAAGGGTGGGAGGGGAATATGGGTCCCACCTGAAGAGCTACCCATATGACGTTTGCCCCCAGGTGTGTTTCAATCACGTGCTGGGGACACATGACACCAGCGGCGTGCACTACACCTTTGGCCTGCCAGGCCTGCTTGGAGGGATCGTCTACATCGTGCTGGTGATGCTGCAGGTCACCTGGACCAAGAATTCCATGTGAGTCGCAGGGCTCACCCCTTAACACCCCCTCCAGCTCAGGAAGAAAAGTGTCCAGGGCCCCGAGCTGGGGTGTGGATGTGCGGGGCTGGGCACTCCGTGGGCCTCGGCGAATGTTTGCTGGTTGATGTGCCTGGAAGTTCTGTCAACCCTTGCCCTACATGGTGTTATCACCTTTCTAGGCACCTCTTTTTTTTCCAGGTGCAGGGCACAGGGGGGTCGTGTCTAGAGACGAAGGCTGAAGGCTGAATGTGAATGTAGTCGGATCTGGTCAATGAGGCCCAAGCCAGTTGGGGTTGTGGCATAGGTCATGGCAAAGGGCTTGTTCTGTAGGGTCAGGCTGATCTCGAAACCTGTTCCCTCTACATGCTAGTGGGCATGTCTCAGCCCCAGTTGGCAATTGTAAGTGGAGGTAATGATGATACCTCCCCTCACAGAGTGGTTGGGAGGTTGCTTGATACCAGCACCTCAGTAATGGGTTCTGACGATGTGTCTACCACTTTTTTAACGGCTGTGCCATTCTGGGCAAATCCTTCCCTTTCTCTGTCCTCAGAGTGCCCCTCTGTAAAATGAGGGGTTGATCTCGCAGGGTCTCAAACTCAGATGCCAGTAGAGGTCAGGCAGGGACGATAAAAAAGAAGAGGCCAGTTAAGGGAGGCAAGCACTTGCTCTTCAGCTCTAGGCCACCGTCACGGCGGGGACCCAGCTTCGGTGTTGCCAGGTCTGACGACCGGGAGCGGCCACTGCATTCCAGTCTGGGCGACAGAGTGAGACTCCAACTCAAGAAAAAAAATAGGAAAAATCACTCCGGGCAAGTGCCTAGCTCACGCGCAACACACACACACACACACACACACACACACACACACACACACACACACACACACACACACACCATTCAGTCAACCAGTAGTGTGCTGGGCATTTGCTGATTTCTGTGGTGCAAATGCTTCTCCCGTGATTGATTTCCAACTATCAGAGTGACATCACTGCACACAGAGTTGGGAAGAGGTAAGAAGCATCTCGCCATGAGCCTGTGGGGGCTGGCTCCACACACCTCTGCAAGTAACTCTCATCAGGAGGAGGCAGCTGAGGACCAAAAAAGTAGTCATCCTCTCACCTCTGCAGGAGGTCGGCAAAGGGAGGGGCAGAGTGCTCAATCTCTCTGAGTCTCTATTTTCTTTCTGTAAGATGGGGTTATCAGACCTATGTCACAGGCTGCTGAGAAGATTTAGCAATATAACCTGGCCCTTTCTTTATGATTGCTGATGCTGCCACTTTCATACAATGAGCATTTCTTCTTTTTTTATTTTTCAGAGACAGGGTCTTGCTCTGTCACCTAGGCTGGGGTCCAGTGGCACAATCATGACTCACTGTAGTTTTGAACTTCTGGGCTCAACCGATCCTCCAGCCTCAGCCTCTAGAATATCTGAGGCTACAAGGTGTACCACCATGTCCGGCTAAGTTTTTTATTTTTTTGTACAAACAAGGTTTTGCTATGTTGCCTAGGCTGGTCTCAAACTCCTGGGCTCAATTGATTCTCCTGCCTTGGCTGCCCAAAGTGTTAGGATTACAGGTGTGAGTTCCTGGCATACAAATGACATTTCTATATAATGGAAAGATAGAGAGGATTAAGCTCAAAGTCAAGACACTTCATGTGAAGTGTGGATTAGCTACTGCTTAGTGGGAAGTCAGCTGACTTTCCATTAACTCCGAAAACAATGTTTGCCAATTTTCCATTCAAACGAATGTATGTGATTGAGTGAGGTGATTGAGTGAGGTGCTGTGCTCAGAGCCAGGATGGGGTGTTTTCCACAAATTGCAGGATTTTAAAGTGATGTGAAGAAACACTGAAATAATGTTGGATCCTCAGTGTACATGTTCTTTTTTGATTCCCATTCAACCCTCTGGTTCTGTTACAGAGAAGCATCCACTATGGCAGAGGGTCTCTGGCCTTTCTGACTCTTAATAACCACAGTTTTGAACAGCAGCTTAGGAAACCTCAGGCTGCCACCCCTGGGGGAGGTCTCAGCAACATTTCTTTTTCATTGTATCTCTTTTTAGAGCCACCATCCATTTCCCTTCTATTTAAGGGAGTGACACAAAGTTTCCTTTAAGTTCATTTATTTAAATGTAAAAATGTTTATTTGAAAAAAATTTTTTTAAATAGCATTTTTAGAATGCCAATATGGCAGGCATGGTGGCACATCCAGAGTGAGAAGACCATGCAAGGTCTAAACGACCACCTGGGCTCCTACTTAGGTGAGGAGCTTGGAGACCAAGAATGGGAGGCTGGAGAGCAAAACCCAGGAACAACTGGAGAAGAAGGGACCCCAGGTCAGAGTCTGGGGGCATTACCTCAAGACCCTCGAGGGCTTGAGGGCTCAGATCTTGGTGACTTCTGTGGCCAATGCCTATGTTGTTCTGCAGATCGACAATGCCTGTCTTGCTGACAGGACAATGTGACTTTAGAGTCAAGATCACTGATGACACCAATGTCACCCGGTTGCTGCTGGAGACAGACATGGAAGCTGTCAGGGAGGAGCTGCCCTTCATGAAGAAGAACCACAAGGAGGAAGCAAAAGGCCTACAAGCCCGGGTGGCCAGCTCTGGGTTGGCTATGGAGGTAGAGGTCCCCAAGGACCTCTCAGGACCTCGGCAAGATCATGGTGGTCATCCAGGCCCAGGATGGTGAGCTGGCTCAGAAGAACCGAGAGTTGCTGGACAAATACCGATCGCAATAGACTGAGGAGAGCACCACAGTGGTCACCATGCAGCCCACTGAGATCGGAGCTGCCAAGATGATGCTCGTGGAGCTGAGATGTACAGTGCAGTCCTTGGAGATCGACCCAGACTCAGTGTGAAATCTGAAGGCTACCCTGGAGAGCAGCCTGAGGGAGGTGGAGGCCTGCTATGCCATGCAATGGAGCAGCTCAGCGGAGCCCTGCTGCACCCGGAGTCTGAGCTGGCACAGACAGAGGGCCAGTGCCAGGCCCAGGAGTAGAGAGGCTCTGCTGAACATTCAGGTCAAACTGGAGTCTGAGATCACCACCTACCTCCAGTGTCAGGGAGACAGAGAGGACTCCAGTGTCAGTGATGTCCAGTCAGTGATGCCTCAGCCCTTCAATTCAAACCTTCCAAAAGACAGCCACCCACAGGACAGGGGATGGCAAAGTGGTGTCTGAGACCAATGACACCAAGGTTCTGAGGTGTTGAGGTAGCAGGAGCAGGATGTCAATGAGAAGTTTTGGAGGAGGAGGAGGAGGAAGAAGAGAAGAATGAGGAAGGGACGGAGGAGGAGGAATAAGGAAGAAGGAGGAAGAAAGAGAAGGAGAGAAGACCACCCCAGAACTAAGGGAAGTATGGAACTTCTTAGAGATTACTTACATGATTGTGTCCAGAATGGTGATAGAAATACGGATGGTAAGGGCCATTCTGATGCAATCTCAGATGGAGCTGAAGATGGGGTATTGAAACCAGAACATCGAGACCCACCTGGGCAACTTGGCGAGACCTCATCTCTACAATAAAAAAAAAAAAAAGAGCCGGGTGTGGTAGCGTGCACCTGTAGTTCCAGCTACTCGGAAGGCTGAGGCGGAAGGATCGCCGGAGCCCAGCAGGTCAAGGCTGCGGTGGCCGGGAGTGGCCACTGCACTCCAGTCTGGGCGACAGAGTGAGACACCAACTCAAAAAAAAAAAGAAACCAGAACAAAGGCTATTGTTGTTATAAAGTAGCGAAGAGCTTGGTTGGACTGTGTCTGTGCCCCATGGCTTTATGGAAGGTGGAATTTAAGGATAATAAACTAGGACATCTGGCAAAAAAAAAATCTAAGTTGCAAAGCATTCAGACTGCTAAATGGCTACTTTTAACTTCTTGTAGTAAAATAAGAGTGGAAATAGATTATTTAAAGACAGAATGTATAGCTAAAAGAGAAGCTAAGCAACAAGATTAGGAACATTAACAGGCAGGCCATGTGGTAGAGAATGAAAGAACATTTTCAGCAGAGGAAACTGAGGTGTGACCAAGCTACCAGTTGATAAGGAAATGATTATGGATAGAACGAAGTCCAAGGCTGTTTATCAGGGCAACCAGAGAAAAACCCCAAAGGCACCCTGGAAATTTTCAAGGCTGCCCATCTCTTCCCAGGCCCCAGGGTCTAGGAGGGCAGAATGGTTTGGGGTGACCAGCTGCTGCCCAGGGCTGCCTCCAGTCTCTGCTCACTGCATTCCAACCCAGTGCTCTTCAGCTGCCCCAGATGTGGCTTGACTCACCCTTCTGAAAGGTACAAGTTGTAAGTTCTGGCAGTGTCCACACAGTGCTAATCCTGCAGGCATGCAGGATGTAAGGATGGTGGGGGCATGGCTCTTCTACTAGATTTCAAAGGATCACAGCCATCACAGAGCCCCCTCCTGTGGGGCAGTGCCCAGTGGAGCCCCAAAAGCAGGGCCTCCCCCAAAACCCCAGAGCTGCCACCGTGCCACACCAGCCTGGGAGACATGCAACTACAACCTTGAGAACTGCTGCCTGGGCTGATTCCCAACAAAGCCAAAGGGGCGGGGCTGCCAGGGCTTGAAAGGCTCAAGCTCCCCCAGTGTGTCCAGGTTGGGGCACATGGAGTAAAAGATCATTCCAAAGCTTTAAGTTGTAATGCTGTTTTCCCCATTGGGTTTTGGACTTGCTTGGGACCAGTTACCCCTTTTTTGCTGTCTCTTTCCCCCTTTTACAAAGGAAATGTCTATGGTAGTTCTGTCCCAACTTTGTATTTTGGATGTAGATAACTTGTTTCGATTTTACAGGCTCACAGCTGGAAGAAATTTGCTATAGAATGAATCATGTCTTGAGTCTCACCAATAACTGATTTATAGGGGACTCTGGACTTTGGACTTTTGAGTTGATGTTGGAACAAGTTAGACTTTGGGGCTATTGGGATGAATTTTGCATGTGAGAAGGACATGAATCTGGGGGGCCAGGAGTGGAATGCTATGCTTTGAATGTGTTCCCCAAATGTCACATGTTGGAAATTTAATCCCCAAATTCATATGTTGATGGCATTTGGACGTGAGGTCTTTGAGAGGTAAATAGGATTAGATGAGATCATCAAGGTGGGGCCCCATGATGGGACTGGTGACTTTATAACAAGAGGAAGAGAGACCTGCGCTGGCACCATGTTGCCCTCTTGCCACGTGATGCCCTCTGCCTTGTTGTGATGCAAGAAGGCCATCACCAGATGCCAGCATTCCTTGGACTTCTTAACCTTCAGAACCGTGCGAAAGATAAACTACTTCTCTTTATAAATTATCCAGTCGATGGTATTCTGTTATAGCAACAGAAAACAGACCAAGACAATATACAGTAAGTCTGTGCTTGTCTGTGCTTGGCTTCTTTTACTCAACATTGTAGTTGTGAGATTCATCCATATTAACTATTGCTGTAGAGTGTTCATTTTCATTGGAGTATCGAGTTCTACTGTGCTTGCCTTAATTTAAGTATTTAATTTATGTATTGTAAATATCACAGGGACCAGGCAGCAGGGAGGGCGACTATCTGGGATTGTGCCTTGAGACAACAGTGTCAGGGGAGTAACTGGGTGAGGAACCACCCAGTCCCTTATTGGGCAGGAAGTGAAAGCACACAGAGTTTGTGGCTGATGGGGTTGTGATTTGAGCTCCCAGGCCCAAGAAAGCTGACTTGCCGGAGAATGAGATAAACAACGTTGGCCATCGGTTTGGCCCTGTGATAAATGAACGTCAGATAGACAAGTACAGAATCTAAGGAAAGAGAGTTCAAACAAGTGTGTCATTGTGTGGACACTGCACAATTTAGCCATTATTGAGGGGTATTTGGGTAGTTTCTAGTATGAAGCTATTAAGAATATTCTAGTATTGCTCTTGTGAGCATTCTAGCACTTATTCTTTGGGACAAATGAATGCACTTCTGCTGATTGTATGCCTAGGAGTGAAGGTGTTGTATCATAGAGTATTCATATGATCAGCTTTGGTGGATACTGCTGAACAGCTTTCCACAGTAATTTGTGCTAACCCAATCACCAGTAGTGCATTAGAGCTCTCCTTACCCCATATATTCTCCAACACTCAGTGTTTTCCTTCTTTTTAATTAGTCATCAAACTTGTCTTAATTTTGATTTCTCCAGTGACTGACTACATAGAGCACTTTTCTTTCTTTTTCTTTTTCTTTTTTTGAGTTGGAATCTCACTCCTTCGCCCAGGCTGGAGTGCAGTAGCACACACTCACGGGCACCCCAGCGTTGACCTTCTGGGTTCCAGCGATCTTTCCGCCTCAGTCTTCTGAGTAGCCAGAACTACAGACACACACTACCACTCCCAGCTATTTTTAATTTTATTGTAGAGACGAGGTCTCACCAAGTTGCCCGGGCTGGTCTTGAACCCACAGACTCAGGCAATCCACTTGCCTCAGCCTCCTAAAGTGCTGGGATTACAGTTTGAGTCACCGAGCCCAGCCTAGAGCACTTTTCATACACTTTTTGGACATTTGAATATATTCTCTTGTGAAATGCTTATTCAAGTTCTTTTTCTTGTTGATTTGTATGAACTCTACATATTCTGGATATGAATCTTTAGTCAGATATATGTATTATAAATATTTTTTCTACTTTGTGGATTACCTTTCACTTTTACTTTTTTTTTTTGTTTTGGATTCTCACTCTACCATCCTGGCTCTACCACCAATGGCCTGATCATAGTCCACTGTAGCCTCGACCTCCTGGGCTCCAGTGATCCTTCTGACTCAGCCTCCCAAGTAACTGGGACTACAGGTGCATATCACCTCACCCAGCTAATTTTAATTTTTTTTTTTTTAAAGATGAGGTCTTGCTATGTTGCCTAAATTGGTCTCAAACTCCTGGGCTCAAGTAATCCTCCTACTTTTGCCTCCCAAAGTGCTGAGATTAGAGGCATAAGCCACCACACCTAGTCCATTTCCCTACTTTATAATGAGGAATTAGTAAAGAGAAAGGAAATCACTTGGCCAAATCACACAGGGGTTGGGTGGGGAGGGCACCTCATGAGACTACAGGCTCTGAGCTTGGCTTTGTCTTCAGAATGAGGACATCAGCTGCCCACCTGTTGAGACAAGGAAAAGCTTAAAACCTGGCTTGTTGCGCCTGTCCGTGGGACTGTGATGAAGCCCCTGGCAGTGCCCAGGTGCAGACTGAACCCAGAGACAGTCACATACAGCATTCCAGGGCCCCATTCATAGTTTAATCTTTAAACGGAAGCCCTGGGCTTACCTTGAAGCTGAAAAAGCCAGGAAGTACTTTCAAGGGAAGTAGTGGCAGGGTAGAAGTTTCTGAGAGCAAAGTTGTAACTCACCTGTCCCTGAGAGAAGTTAAGTCTTCTTCTTGAATTGCCTAACGAGAAAATGGGGAGCTCGGAGGGGCTAAGGAACTTGCCCAGGGTCACACAGCTGGTGAGCAACAGAGCTGAGACTTGAACATGGGCTTTCTGACTCCTGGTCTGGTTCATTATCCATGGGGACCTGAGAATTAAAATAAGCCAAAGAGGATCTTGGAATACCCTTTTTCTACCCGCCTGCCATGTGTCTGCATTGCTTTTCGGGAAAATGACAGGGGAATGTACCAGCTGGGGAGAATTGTCCCTAGTGACCTCTGCATCCAGACACCCATGTGACCTCCTCTCTTTGTCATTTCTAGGATTGGCTACCGGGTGCTGATTGACACCGGGGCACTCAGCTTGGCTATGGCGATGGGTCTGGTATCCGGTCTCCTGACAGGTCAGTGTGGGGCCACCCTTCCTCCACCAGTGCCTGGGACACAGCCCTCAGGTCCAGTGTGATCCTGTCCCATGGCTGGATGTGCAGGTGCCCATCCTCTTCCCAGCAAAATGATGCCCTCAGCTCCAGCCCCATGAACCAAAGGGCTCAAACCTTGATTTAAAAAAAAAAATCACAGACTCGTAATTTCAGAACTGGAAAGACCCTTAGAGGTCACCTGCTGCTGATGTGGACCCCAAGGCCAGGGAAGGGAGGGGACTTCCCTCGGGTTATAAGTAGGGTGAGTGGCAGCATTGTAGGCTCTTGAGCCCAGAACAGTGACTGTAGTCCATTTTGTGCAGAAGGCTGGGAGATCCTACACCCTAAAGCTTACTTTTTATGAGGAGGACCGAAAGAAACCTGGAATTTATTTATAAAAAATGTGTATTTGCCGGGCGCAGTGGCTCACACCTGTAATCCCAGCACTTTGGGAGGTGGAGGCGAGAGGATTGCTCGAGTCCAGGGTTTGGAGACCAGCCTGGGCAAATTGGCGAGACCTCGTCTCTACAATAAATGAAAAAGGCCGGGCTCAGTGGCTCAGCCTGTAATCCTGCACTTTGGGAGGCCGAGGTGAGTGGATTGCCTGAGCCCGAAGGTTCAAGACCCGCCCGGGCACCTTGGCAAGACTTCATCTCTACAATAAATCAAAAATTAGCCGGGCGTGGTAGCGCGCACCTGTAGTTCCAGGTACTTGGAAGGCTGAGGTGGAAGGATCGCCAGAGCCCAGCAGGTCGAGGCTGGGGTGGCCGTGAGCATGCCACCACACTCCAGCCTGGGCGACGAAGTGAGACTCCAACTCAAAAAAAAAAAAAATTAGCTGGGCATGGTAGTGTGCTACTTGAAAGACTGAGGTGGAAGAATTGCCTGAGCCTAGCAGGTCAAGGTTGCAGTGGCTGTGAGCATGCCATTGCACTCCAGCCTGGGCAACAGAGTGAGACTCTGACTCAAAAAAGGAGAAACAGCCTCATCAAACATAGATATTGGGTCTCCCAGGTCAGGTAGATTCGAAATACCTGATGAGAGATGGGACAGGTTTTAGAGGTCAAGCACATGGGTTGAAGTGAAAACAGAGAGCCACACAGAGGAAAAGAAATTCTTCACACTGGACACAAGAACCCAGACAGCTTGGGCTGCAGGGAGAATGGGCCAGTAAACTTCAACAGATGCACCTTCTCCACGTTCTAGGGTACGTTTCGTATGTGAATGTTCCTAGCAATGGTTCTGATTAAAAAAAAAAAAGTCTAAATATGTTCAGCATTGTCTCATAAGACAAGAAAATATATTTTAGATGGTTTTTCAGCAGTGATGAGTAAGTCTCAGCTATCTGGAAAATTCATGTAGGCGACAGAGATCTTTTTTTTTTTTTTTTTTGAGTTGGAGTCTCACTCTGTCGCCTAGACTGGAGTGCAGTGGCCGCTCCTGGCCACCGCAGCCTCGACCTGCTGGGCTCCGGTGATCCTTCTGCCTCAGCCTTCCGAGTAGCATGCACTATCACGCCCGGCTGATTTTTTGATTTATTGTAGAGATGAGGTCTGGCTGCCCAGGCGGGTCTCGAACCCGCGGGCTCAGGCAATCCACTCACCTCAGCCTCCCAAAGGCACGGGATTACAGGCTGAGCCACCGAGCCCGGCTCAGAGATCATTTCTGAGTATTTCTAACTAAATGAGGTGTGCTGATTGCAGCCTGCATGCCAATATAAATTAAAGGCATGCGCTACCAAAGGAAAATGTGAATTTCGGTAAGCACACGCCCACTCTTGTTAATCATACTGGAACTGATCATCCTTAAAAATACACAGATGGGGAGCATTTCCCTGCTTCATTGGAAAGGTAAGCACTCATTTAATGTATCCTGGGAAATTCAGCCAGCTTTGCAAAACTGAGGAAATGCGTTAGGGTCCAGTGACCTGGGCAGAGGCGAGATGGGAAGAAAGAAGAAAAGACACAAAAGCAAATTGTTACAAGTGACTTTCCTAACTACACAAGAGGAATCTTGAGTTGGGGTAAGTCCACTGGAGCCAGAGAAGACAGACCCTTAGGAGGACCTAATTGAAGCCACTCTCCATGGTGGTCTTGGGTTTTGAGGGGAGCAGCTTTTTAGTGGGGCTGGCTGGGCCCTTCTATTCCGTCTTGGGAAGGGCGTCAGATCCATGACTATCATATACTGCTCAGTGTCCCCTCCGTCTTTCAGAGATCTCTGTTCTTACAGTTCCTTTTAGCAAATGTCTGTAGGATTAATTAAGCAGGTCCAAGAAGAACAGGACTTCAGTTGTCTGTCTTCCGATTGTGGAAGAAAAAGGATTTCTGTTGAGATATCATAGTTTTGATATATAATATTTCTATTAGTCTTGAGATAACAAATGCTGTGATCCAAATATTTTAACATTTAATTATGAATTTAAACAGGTTTGCTTCTAAATCTCAAAATATGGAAAGCACCCCATGTGGCTAAATATTTTGATGATCAAGCTTTCTGGGAGGTAAGATTTTTAAACTGTTAACATGGTAGATTTTAAGTGCATGAACTATAAAGGTATCTGGGTATATATGTTAACTTGGTGTTTATGAGAGTAAAACAAAAACAAACAAAAATGAAGTAAGGAGCATCAGTGGAGGAACAATCCACGATCTGCACGTGTGTGCATGTGTGCAAGTATGTTGTAGGGAGCAGGGAGGTGGTAAGGTTACCATTTCCCTGATGCCTCAAAGTCATTGAGGGCCAGGAGGAGAGAGTTGCCACTAGTCATACCTTCCCTTCTCATCTGGAGTCTTCAAAGTGGGCAGATAGTTGGACACAAAGGTAACAGAACCCCATAGTACAAGAGCCAGAAGAAACCTCAGGTCTTTGGGTCCAACCCCTTATTTGACAGATGCTAAGAGTGGCACATGGCTCGCCCAAGATCTCACAGTGCATAGTGGCCATGATGAGTCTAGAACACAGCTCTTGATCAGGTAGAGCTGGTGGACACAAGAAAGCTTGTGGTATAGGGGTCTGGGGCCCCCTAGCAAAAGGACATAGACAACTCAGCTGCTGCCAAGGGTCTCTGGTGTCATATTGTAGTATTTGGTATCATGACTGGGTACGAGCAGGGCTCATTCCCTGACACCCCACTGTCCTCCTCCCTCTGACTCACACTTGTAGTTCCCAAAGCACTCTGATGTGTGTCCCCTCGGGAGGTCCTCCAGTCAATGCTGTGGGTTGGCCAGGCCAGCAGGGGTCAACGTTGCCAAGGGAGGCTGGGGTTGGCAGAGGTCAGGCTAATGTCCAGTGTGATACCCTTGTGAGTGGCGGAGACAAGCCCAGGAACAAGGCCTTCTGAGTCCCGGGCCAATCCTTGCCCCAGCCAGCATCCAAGATATTGATCGCTGAAGGGAAAAGAACCTGCCTGTGGGCCTTGGCACATGTGCCTGCAGGGGCAGAGCAGAGAGGACCTGGGAGAGAACCTGCCCCTTCTCCCTTTCCTCTCCTTTTTGTCCTTCTTGCCTTCCTCTTCTTTGTCTTCCTCTTCTTCTTCCAAGGGCTTTGTTGAGGGGTAATGGGCGTACAATGAATTGCACATATATCGAGTACACAGTCGGGTACATTTTAACATACTTATGCACCCATGAGACCATGACCACAATCAGACAAGGAACATATCTGTCACTCCCACACACTTCCTGTCCCTTTGACAGTGCTCCCTCCCTACCCTGCCCAGCAGATCCCCAGGCAATGCTGAATGACTGACTTGCTGTCACCATAGATGAACTTGCGGTTCCTGTAGTTGTATCTAATGGAATCGTGCAGCACACTCTCTTGTCTGCCTTCCTTTACTCAGCGCGATTATCCTGACAGTCATCGTGCTGCTACGTGTAACTTGCCTCATCCTGTACCAGCTTCTCTCTACAGCCACAGATCTCGGTCCCATCCAACCGCCAGCCTCTCCCAGTACCCTGCAGGTGTTCTTGCCCCTCCAGCACAATCAGGGGACTCTATTGAAAGGATTCAGAAACTGATTTGATCCATTCATTCATTACTGAGCAACTGCTTTATACCAAGTACGGTGCTAATCAACTAAGGGGTCAGGGGTGGTGGGTCACACCTATAATCCTAGCACTTTAGGAGGCCAAGGCACGAGGACTTCTTGAGCCCAGGTGTTCAAGACTAGTCACAGCAACATAGCGAGACCCCATCTCTTCCAAAAATAAAATCTAAAAGAGAAAAATAAAATAAATTAGCCAGGTGTGGTAGCGTGCCTGTAGTCCCAGCTATTTGGCAGGCTGAGGTGAAATGATCACCTGAGCCCAAGAGGTCAAGGCCGCGATGAGCCATGATTGTGCCACTGCACTCTAGCCTGGGCGACAGAGTGAGACGACATCAATTCAAAAATAAATACATAAATAAAAATAATCAACCAAGGATACCGCAAACAGGACAAATATCTGGCTCAGCTATTTGAGTTGTAATAAAATATTTGCTGAATAAGTAAAGGAGCTCGGAGGAGCCCCACCTAACTCCAGCCACTGTGGCATCAGGTGAACTAGAACAAGAACCGAATTTCAGTCATCACATACCATGGAAGCAAGTCCCTTGACCTCTCACTGGTAAAATAAGAATAGTCACATTTGGCTGGGCACGGTGGCTCAGCCCATAATCCCAGCAATTTTGGAGGCCGAGGCGAGAGGACTGCTTGAGCCCGGGGGTTTGAGACCAACCAGGACAACTTGGTGAAACCTCATCTCTACAATAAATCACAAAAAGTAACTGGGCAAGGTGGCATGCACCTGTAGTTCCAGCTACTTGGAAGGCGGAGGCAGATCACCTGAGCCCAGCAGGTCGAAGCTGCGGTGGCCATGAGCATGCCACTGCACTCTAGTCTGGGCAACAGAGTGAGACTCCGACTCAGGGGGGAAAAAAGATTAGTCCCCTTTGTTCCACCTCACTGTGTTACTTGGAAGATCAGGTGAGGTAATAGTGCCTATGACAACATTTTGAACGTGGACATGCAATCTGATTCCATGGCTGTTCAGCCAGTCATGCAGCAATGGTGAAGCATACTAGCCTGGTATTGCAGGCCTCCTGCTTCTAATCTTGTGTGAGGTACGTTTCAGCACAATCCTTCATGAGAGTAAGGATCCCAGTCTTCAAGATGAAAAATCCAGGCCTACAGAGATGCAGTAACTTTCCTGAATGACAGCACTCACACACAGCACAGGGGAAATTGGAACTGATGTCGGTCTGGCTCCAATGACAGCCCACACATGCCTGTGTTGTGTGTGGCTACCACAGCAGTTGCTAGAGAAGAGTAGTTCGCCCCTCCCCTCCCCTCCCCTCCCCCTGGTGATCTTCTGACTTATCGTCTCAAAGCCGGGTAGAACCATTTATTTAGCAGTGTACCACTCTCAGCTTGTATTTGGAAGCCAAATATCCATTAAGGAGACAAGAATGAAATCTTGCAAAGCTGATGAATCTAAGTTTGCTTTTTTTTTGTAAACCATCCAACAAACCATTTTAAACGTTACCGAATACCCTCATTGCATTTCACAGAACCGACTGCCAGCGTTGAGAGGGACATTAAAACCAGCTCAGCCTTTCCTTCTCTGTTTGCCCAGACTGTGGCTGGCACTTACTGGGATGAGGCATCCTCCAAGGGCACCTGCCTCATCCTTGGATGCTTTATGAAAATGCGCTCATTCACTCATTTATTCCCCTACCTGTGCTGTCTAACCTGTGACAGATGTTGTGTGTAGCGCTGGGGCGACAAATCCATGTGAAATACAGTTCTGGGTCTCGAGGACCCGGATTCATTCACCTTCTGTCTCCTTGTGGTTTACAGTGGTCTTCATATAGATACTGACTTACAAAAATTCAGTTTATGGCACCATTTGTCATGTGTCTTGTGCCTTCGCCATTTCAGTCTAATAAGTCGTGGATTTATTTCATGCTTTGCAAAGCATGAGAACTCACTGACATTCACTTTAAAAAATTAATTCCGGCTGGGCTCAGTGGCTCAGCCTGTAATCCCAGCACTTTGGGAGGCTGAGGCGAGTGGACTGCCTGAGCCCGCGGGTTCAAGACCAGCCAGGGCAACTTGGCAAGACCTTGTCTCTACAATAAATCAAAAATTAGCCAGGTGTGGTAGCTTGCACCTGTAGTTCCAGCTACTTGGAAGGCTGAGGCAGAAGGATTGTCTGAGCCCAGCAGGTTGAGGCTGCGGTGGCCGTAAGCATGCCACTGCACTCCAACAGAGTAAGACTCTGACTCAAACAACAACAACAGAAGACTAAATAAGTACTGTTACCTGGCAGGATCTGCTAGGAGAATTAGAGAAAGGAGGGATCATGAGGCTGGAGAGGTCAGGAGGACAGAACCTGGAGTGGCAAGGTGGAGACTGAGCATGAAAAAAAGATGGGGCAGCCTTGACTCGGCAGTGTGTGGAAAGGTTGGAAGGTAGCTGGAGCCTTGAACTTCATCCTGCCACCACAGGAAGCTCCCAGAAGTGTGAGTGGGGAGATGAGGCATAAAGAGGAAGCTTTAGATGAATGGAGTGATAGGATTAAGTGTGGGATAGATTCTAGAGTGACTGCCATATGCTGAAATCCCCCATTGGTTTCTGAACGAGGATTTGTGGTTTATTTTTTAAATGATTTTATTGCCAAGAAATGTAAACCCCACTACTGTTTTGGTGCAAATACACAACAAAATGTGTTGAGTTCCTTGTGCTGTTTTATTTTTTTTATTTTTATTTTTTTTGAGATGGAGTCTCACTCTGTCGCCCAGACTGGAGTGCAGTGGCTGCTTCCGGCCCCCGCAGCCTCGACCTGCTGGGCTCTGGCGATCCTTCCTCCTCAGTCTTCCGAGTAGCCGGAATTACAGGCATGCGCTACCACACCTGGCTAATTTTTTGATTTATTGTAGAGATGAGGTCTCGCTGCCCCAGGCGGGTCTCGAACCCGCGGGCTCAGGCAATCCACTCACCTCAGCCTCCCAAAGGCGCGGGATTACAGGCTGAGCCACCAAGCCCGGCCTTTGTGCTGTCTTATGCAGACAGAGTTTTAAAAACCTAGCCTTGTCACACTGGTATCACCCTGGCTTCTGATCTAAAATAAATGTTTAGATGTGTAGTAAGGGTCCAACAAATGCCTGTTCAACCAACAAGAGGAGAGCTAGCTTTTAAAGTAAAGTAGGGGCCGGGCGCATTGGCTCACGTCTATAATTCCAACACTTTGGGAGGCCGAGGTGGCAGGATTGCTTGAGGCCAGGAGTTTGAGACCAGCCTAGACAACATAGCAAAGCCCAGGCTCTACAGAAATAAAAAATATGAGCCGGGCATGGTGGTGCACATCCGTAGTCCCAGCTACCCAGGAGGCTAAGGCAGAAGGATTGCCCGAGGCCAGGAGGTCGAGGTTGTGGTGAGCTGTGATTGTACCACTGCATTTCAGCCTGGGTGACAGAAAGAGACCCTGACTCAAAAGAAATCAATAAGGTAGGAAAGCAGACCAGAAGCTTGCCAATGGACTCCTCCATGCTCAGGGAGGCCCAGTGCAAAGAGCACTGTTCTAGGAGGGAGATGTGAATTCTAGTCCCAGCTCAACTACCAGCACGCTGCTGCCCTGGGGCAGGTCACGTGACTTCTCTGGGGCTCAGCGTCTTCCTGCATAAAATGAAACCAAATCCCACATTCCAAGAGTTTGGGCTCTGGAGTCAGACAGAGTCACACAGAGCTGGGCTCACCCTGTCTTCCCATCTCTGAAATGGAGAAAATAGTAACTCTGTCCCTGGGTTGTGAGTTTAAAGGAGATAACGTATGTGAAATGTTAGCAAAAACCATCAAGTGTCAGCTACCCTCATTTCCTGTACCAGAGCTTTGTGGCCCAAGGTTATTCAACACACTGTGATGTAAGGCAGGCGGTGGTGCAACCAGAGAACCCAGGGTGTACTGTTTGCAGAGAAGACACAGAGGAGACCTAAGAATTCGCTTCAACACTTGAAAGACTGGCATGTAGCAGAAGAAAAATACTTTCTTCTATTTAATTAAGCTGAGGGGAGATGCAGTGTAAATTTCTAACAATTTGAGCTGTCTGCCAAATGGAATGACCTGCTTCATATGGCAGTAGTGAGTCCCCTGTCACTGGAGGCATTCAAACAAAAGCCAGATGGCCAGCCAGCAATGATTGATGTAAAACACTAAATGAAATAAAACCTATCTATGTAAGGTCTATTCCAATTCAAATTTTATGAAAGAAACGCCAAGGACTTGTGATGAGACATTTAGGTTAATGTAAGTTTCAGATCAAGCCAGAATCAGTATGCATACACATTTTAAGAGCAAAAGGGCCCCAGATGCAGTGGCTCATGCCTATAATCCCAGCACTTTGGGAGGCCAAGGTAAGAGGATTGCCTGAGCTCATGGGTTCAAGACCAGCCTGGGCAACTTGGCGAGACTTCATCTCTACAGTAAATCAAAAAATTAGCTGGACAGGGTGGCATGTGCCTGTAGTTCCAGCTACTTGGAAGGCTGAGGTGGGAGGATCACCTCAACCCGGCAGGTTGAGGCTGTGGTGGCTGTGAGCGTGCCACTGTACTCTAGCCTAGGCAACAGTGTGAGAGACTCCAACTCAAAAAAAAAAAAAAAAGAGCAAAAGGGTTCACCTGCAGTAAAATGTTTGTTTTGCTTTTACAGTTTCCTCACTTGGCTGTTGGATTTTAAGCAAAAGCATCCAAGAAAAACAAGGACTGTGGAAAACAGGATGACCTCCCCTCGCTGTTACCTACCTTCGTATGTGACAAATGCTCGTTACAGCAAAGCCTCCTCATGTACAGTTGAAATAAGGTCAGGGACAGATTCGATATTTAAAAATAAAAGACACAAACTATTATTAAGAGATAACAGTAGTTATAAATAAGTGTGCTTGGCTGTATTAAAGATGACACTATGAGTATTTTCTTGGTCATAGACATGTGAGGTCTGGGATCAAGTTGATTGACAATTCTTAGATTCTTTTTCATGCTTAATGACCTTGTGTCCCCAGTTACATCGGCAGAGCACATCACACAAACTATGGGGATAGAGCGCTCACTTGTGTTTAGTCCTTGTAGATAGAATGCTTTACTCCATCAGTTTGACAAGAAGGCTGGCATGCCCTGAGCAGATTCTGAAAAGAGCTGTGGAGGAAGAGGTTGTGGTCATTTGTGAGATGGGGGATACACTGCCTCAGCATTCAAAAACTAATTCTCTGTCCTTGAGAAACTCATTTAAGTTTCTGTGGTCCGTGTTCCCTCATGTGTAAAAAGAAAGGGTGGGCTTTAATCTCTAAAATTCTCTCAAAATTTCACATTCTGTGGATCTATGTAAAAAAAAAAAAAGTGACTTCTTGTGGGGTGACAGCAATACAGTCATTTCTTTTTTAATTATTATTATTTATTTTTTGAGACAGGGTCTTGCTGGTCTCGACCTTCTGGGCTCAAGAGATCCTCCCTCCTCAGCCTCCTCCGTAGCTGAGACTACACCCAGGCAGTCATTTCTTTGAGTCATGTCTTGATTACCAGGCAATATTTACAACCCATAGATTGGCAGATGATGATGGCCGACACATTTAAAGCACCCAAGATATCTTTTAAGTTTAATGAAGGGCTCATTGTAGCATGGTTTATGAAAGTCGTTTCCAGCTGTAGTTCTGAAGCATGAACCCATCTTACCAACATGGGGAGTGTAACAGAGTTCCAAAGAGGAACAAACTGTGAGAGTCCCCAGGGGCTCATGTTCTGTAATGATAACTGACCTGTCACCAGTTGTGAGCTGGTGGCTCAGTACACAGATAAAATGAAACACAGAAACCAGTTTATTATCAAAACAACAACAGAGGAACCATTACATGAGCAAGAGCCCAGAGTGTCAAGTCCCTGTCCTTTTCCTCTCTCCCTCAGCAGTGGGCATGGGTGACTGTTGGTGTTTCACTAGAACCGCCTGTCAGGGTGGAGTCCCACAGTCCTGTCCCAGGATCAACGGCACAGCAGATTCCCACAGAAGGGACCCAGAGATCCTGGTGGCTGGACCATGGGGCTTCTCCCAACATGTTCACACACCCCCAGGGAAACCCTCAAAAGTTACTTATGCTAAAAGTTCATAGAATTCTTGGTCAAACCAAGTGCTGAATACAGTGAGGAAGAATTCTGATCACTGAGGTCTTTTTTTTTTTTTTTTTTTGAGTTGGAGTCTCACTCTGTTGCCCAGACTGCAGGGCAGTGGCCGCTCCTGGCCACCGCAGCCTCGACCTGCTGGGCTCCGGCGATCCTTCCGCCTCAGCCTTCCAAGTAGCCGGAATTACAGGCATGCGCTACCACGCCCGGCCGATTTTTTGATTTATTGTAGAGATGAGGTCTCGCTGCCCAGGCGGGTCTCGAACCCGCAGGCTCAGGCAATCCACTCACCTCAGCCTCCCAAAGGCGCAGGATTACAGGCTGAGCCACCGAGCCAGGCTCACTGAGGTTTTTAAAAAAGAAAATGTTTACATTTCATTTAACATTTGACACAGAAGAGACTGTAATTAAAGTATATTCATTCAATCTTCAGAGCACTTTCATTAACTTCAGATATGACAAATACTTACATGGATGAATCTGTAATTTCTTTTTATTTTTACAAATTATATCATGATAAAACTTGACAGAAAGTATTCATGTGAAATAGTCTCCTTTAACATTTTATAAGTTAATCAAGTACATACCACAACAGATTTGTTGTTGCTGTTTAAAAAGAGAGTTCTCATGATTTTAGTATTACACAACTTTAAGCTGAGACGACACTTGGAAATACATTTAGAAAATGGCATTACAAAAGACTGGGAGTGAGCAGTAAAAAACAAACCAACCAACCCATGCAGGGCTGCCAGGCTGCAGGAAATCAGACATTTTCACTGCCACAAGTCTTCGGTGCGGCCAAACTTAAAAACCAGTCCTCTGTGAAGAAAACAAGAAATACTACATAACTATCTGAATTTGGAGGAAAAAAAATGTGAGATTTTGAGAATGACGGGAAATAAGCAACAAAGAATAATTGATGAGTCATATAAAACCGGAATGTATCAAAACGGAAACTGATCCTCTAAGGTAGTGAATTCTTCCATTGTGCTCAACTGTCCTATTTACTGGCATCTTCCCTACAACCTTAACTTGTGAGCAATGAAAACACATGTGACTTTTAAGAAGTTAGCCCATGTTTACTATGTATATGTCTGACTTTATCAAACTCACTCAAGAAACCGTTTTTGGGTGTCCTGATATGCTAGGTGCATGGGCTGTAAAGGTAAGACATAACAGTCCTTGTCCTCAAATGTCTCGGCTGCTCGATAATAACATGGTAAGCACTAGGGCAAGAGGCATGTATACCAAGTGTTAAGAGAGCACAGAAGTGTGGAACTCATTCTGCCTGAATGAGTTAGAAAAAGACATACAGAGGTAGTGACATCTGAGATGGGCTTTGATGGATACATAGGAGTTTGAGTGGGAGACTGGTAGGAACAAGAGCTCGTGGGATGACGGAAGAAGGTGTTCCAGGGAGAAGAGTTCCCCAAAGGGGAAAGAGGTGTAATAAACCAAGGGGCTTCACGAAAAGCCCAGGAGTCTGGTATGCGGGATACGCCACTGAAGCACTTCCTAGGGATTAGGTGAGGGAGTGTCTACAATTGTCCTCAGGGCTTCAACTCAAGAAGGGCAAGAGAGACCCCTGGCTAGATTACTGTTTAAGAGACAGGAGGACAGGAAATGAGGCAGCCAGCTGCCCAGGGTGGCCAACGCCCTGCAGGTGCCTTCAAAGAGTCAAGCTGTGCCAAGGCTAGCCTGAGGCTCCATCCAGAGCAGCGGGGGCTCAGTACCAGGTAAAGAGTGGGGCTATGTGGAGTACAGCCGCAGCTGAAAAGGAACAGCTGTTCAGCTCCAGCTGACTGTTGATGTCTGGGGCCCAGGACTGTGAGATTTTCCCTTTTTTTTTTCAAGAAAAGCCAACATTTCTCACACACACAAAAAAAAGCCAGGAGTGGTGGCTCACGTCTGTAATCCCAGCACTTTGGGAGGTGGAGGGGAGAGGATTCCCTGAGCCCAGGGGTTTCAGATCAGCCTGGGCAACTTGACGAGACCTTGTCTCTACAGTAAATTAAAAAATTAGCCACGTGTGGTGGCAAACACCTGTAGCTCCAGCTACCCAGCAGGTCCAGGCTGCAGTAACCCTGAGTGTGCCACTGCACTGTAGCCTGGGTGACACAGTGAGACTCTAACTCGAAAAGAAAAGAAAAACCAAAATTCATATTTTCACACCAAATCTTTTGATTTTTAAATGTTGGCGCAACAAAACAGAAAATACTGTATATGCTAAATAAAACAGAACTGTGGGCAGAGTTTGGCTGAATGGCCACTTCCTTTAATCTCTTCTACAGACAGTTCTGAGTTTTGAAAAAAATGGAGACAGGAAATGACAAGATTAGAGCTCTGTTTAGAAGGAAAAGTGACAGCAGGAAAACCAGATCAGAAAGCGGAACCAACTAGGGATAGGCAACGGATGTGGCTGAAACAGTGGAAACGCACAGAAAGGGAACAGATTTCAGGCACTTCAGAGGCGGATTCAGCAAGCTCGGGTGTGAGTAAGTGGAGAAACTAAAGACAAAACAGACGTTCCATGGCAGACACTGTTTTCCATTTTGTCTTCTTGTCTGTTTTTCTTTTTTAAAATTTGATTTATTTTTATGTATTTTAAAGATGTGGGGTACTATTAGGTATACAAATGGTCATTGTACAGGTAAAGTTTGGGCCTGACTTTGGTTCCCACTTCGCCTGGTGGGAGACCTGGTACCCTTATTGATGAAGTGTGCCCCCGACCTGTTTTTCAATTGCTGTTATATACTCAAAGTTAGGTCCACCATTATAATAATCAATCATAAAATGGTTTCAAAAGGATCTTATAAAGGTTTTCTTTTCATGAAAACTAAAATGCAACAAGGAAGTTGTCTATACCCTCTCTTGGAAAGATATTAAAGTCTCTTTACAAAGGACTTAATAAACTTCTAAAAGTTGATTTGACCTCTGTTCTTCTACTTAGTAGCAAGCCCACTGCTGTAAAAAAGAAAAAGCTGAAGCTGGTTATTAGAGGCCTCTGCTCTCCAGATAGCTGAAAGAGACACAGTGACTTTGGAATACTAGTCAACAGCTGGGAACTGTCATTTGCAGAGGTCCTGGGCAAGAGCCACTCTCTCCCACACTGTCAGATGGTCACCTTTGGTACTGACGTCTGTCCATTCTGATTTCTGAAATAATAATTCTAAGTTGTTGCTGAGTACCATTCTGTTACAAATCAGAATAGCAGGCAATCTGCTACAACCATTCTGATAAGTGTCCATTAGTTGAATTTAATTTCAACTTGTTTATAGTATTTTTCACAAAACCCACTTTTTAGATTTAATAGGCAAAACTGTAACAAATGAGAAATTAGCCAAACTTGTTGCAAATAACAGCAATCTATTATAACTAATGTGGGATATTGACAAGTCAAAGATCAGGTTTCCAGGATTTTGTGAAATGTGATTAACTTCTGTATGAACTTACAAGTGTTCCCACGAATGTTCCCCTCTCAATTCTCTGTTCCTCTTTGCTTTGAAACTGACTTCTCTGCCAAAAGCAGCATCTCACAGTGGAGCCGACCCTGCCTGATAGATACCCTTGCCACAAACAATAATTATTAGCATAAAAGAGGCTACTGCTGGGCCCTCACTGGTGATTCCTGGCAAATTCCCTTCCCATCCTGAAGCTTCTCTTACCCCTGCCTCTGACCTTGTGACACTGCATTCTTCTGACTAAAGTCATGGGGTACTAGATCCCTCAGAGTACCCCTGACCCTGTGGATACTAGAGGCTGAGGGCTGAGAGTGCCTGGTTCATCTTTAAAGATGTTCAAGCTTCACTTTGGGAGGCCGAGGCAAGAGGACTGCCTGAACCCATGGGTTCGAGACCAGCCTAGACAACATGGTGAGACTTTTTCTCTACAATAAATCAAAAAATTAGCTGGGCATGGTAACACGCACCTGTAGTTCAGGCTACTTGGAAGGCTGAGGCGGAAGGATCGCCTGAGCCCAGCAGGTTGATGCTGCAGTGGCCAGGAGCGTGCCACTGCACTACAGCCTGAGCGACCGAGTGAGACTACAACTCAAAAAAATAAAAATAAAGATGTTCAAGCTGGCTGGGCACGGTGGCTCAAGCTTGAAATCCCAGCACCTTGGGAGGCAGAGGTGAGAGAATTGCCTGAGCCCAGGAGTTCAAGACCAGCCTGGGCAACTTGGCAAGACCTTGTCTCTACAATAAATAAAAAAAATTAGCCGGGCATAGTGGCACGTGCCTGTAGTTCCAGTTACTTGGAAGGATGAAGGTAGAAGGATCACCTGAGCCCAGCAGGTTGAGGCTGCGGTGGCCATGAGCGTGCCACTGCACTCCAGCCTAGGTGACAGAGTGAGACTCCAACTCAAAAAAAAAAAAAAAAAAAAAGATGCTCAAGCCTCAGCATTGCAACTTGAAAGGAAAAGAAATCCTTAATATCAACACTCTCTCTCTCCCAAACACATGCTACATTACCTATGAACACCCAAATTTTATATCACAAGAGGGGGGCATGGGATTTACTCATTTTGTGTTTTTCAAGTACAATGTGACAATCTTTAAAAAAAAAAGGGTGAGAGGGGGCAGAACTAGTTGAAGACTCAGCAAAAGGAGAAAATATCAACTGAATTCATCCCGAACTTTAAATTCCATCATCATAGTAGCTAGAGCCTAAACTCTAGAGTCAATCTTGGGCTAAATTTTAGCTGTGTGGTTTCAAGTAACCCAACATCTCTGTGCCTGTTTCTCACATAGAAATGGGGATAATGGAGCCATCAGAGCTTCCAGGGGCACTGACTGACAGCACACATGGCAAGCTCAAAGAATGATGCCTCACACACAGTAATTGCTTAATAAACTTTGGTTATTATTAATTTTTGGATTTCTGCATAAAAGTCAACTTGCCACTTTTTCTTTCTTTCCTTTCTTTCTTTCTCCTTCTCTCTTTCTCTCTCTCTTTCTTCCTTTCTAAACCCTTTGAGGTTTCTCCACCAGTTTTAGGACACAAATAGAACCCAAAGAGGCTGTGGATCTTGCCACACCTAAGTTCACATTCTTCTTATTTCCAAACTGATTTTTTTGTTGAGTCAGAGTCTCACTCCGTTGCCCAGATTGGAGTGCAATGGCACTCTTCAAGCCACTGCAGCCTCAACCTGCTGGGCTCCGGCGATCCTTCTGCCTCAGCCTTCCAAGTAGCCAGAACTACAGGTGTGCGCTACCACACCCGGCTAATTTTTGATTGATTGTAGAGACAAGGTCTTGCCAAGTATCCCAGGTGGGTCTTGAACCCACCGGCTCAGGCAATCCACTTGCCTCGGG